CAAAAAAACAAATGAATACACAAACAAGCAAGCAACAAATCTCATCACCGGGGTTATACCCTGGAGGCCTTACATCATGGAACTGCATCTGAAAAAAAAAAACAAATGAATACACAAACAAGCAAGCAACAAATCTCCTCATCACCGGGGTTATACCCTGGAGGCCTTACATCATGGAACTGCATCTGTCATATGCACTTGGAGAAATAAAAATTAACTGCATTGAGGGCTGGAGAGATGGCTCAATTATTAAGATCACTGGCTGCTCTTGCAGAGAACCCAGGTTTGGTTCTCAATAACAATCACCCATAACACCAGTTCCAGGGGATCTGATTCCCTCTTCTGGCCTCTATGGGCATTGCACACACAGGTGCACTTACATATAAGCAGGCTGAAACCCATATACATAAAAATAAATTAAGTTTTAAAAATTTAAAAAACAAATGCATTGAAAAGTCTAACTACATGTCATGTCATGTCATACAATTGTAAACTGACATGTTATCTCATTTAATCCTTAGTTTTGTGCCATTATCATCCTGATTTGCCAGAGGAGTGATTCCTCAGGACCACACAACTGGAGAGTGACAGCTGGGAGTTTTTCCACTTCATCCTGCAAATGTGAACATTCCTAAGTGTACTTTTCTCAAAGCCATAACTTATTCCAGTAATAATTATCATGAAGGAAGCTGACCCAGGGTTAGAGGGAGTCAGATTATAAGGAAGCCACAGTACTGACTTGGCATTTGTTATTGCTCTTTTGGTTCAAAAAAATGCTCTTAGACTGAATTCTATGTCTATAATTTCCAAAGATAGGGTTTTCTTGTCTGCACACACCTCTTTCTGGGAGCCAACCCTGGGTGAGCCTGCTTGGCCTTAGGCCAGGATGCCATAGCTTGCCCTACCCTACCACTGACAAGCCAGGGTTCACACTGGACTCTAAGATGGGCTGTTTATTGACTACACATAGCTAAGAGGATGTTCCCTTTTGTGGGCTAGAATGAGGAAAGTCCCTGGGTCATGCTGTCTACTGGTTGGTGCTTGAGTTGTAAAGGCATGTGAATGGCAGCTGCTGTGACCAGTTCGTACCATGTCCCTCATGAGGAATGGAGAAAGGAAGGCAGCTTGGGGAAGACACTGATATAAGAGGCTAAGTATACATGCATGCAATCAAATGTGAGGGAATGAGCTTCACCAAGTAGCAGTTTTAAGCCACCAACATCAAGAACTTTTGTTCCACTGGGGATGATGCCATTCCTCAGGAGCTGTCTACCTTACTTTTTGAAACAGGGTCTCTCATTTTTACCTGGAGTTTGCCAATTGAACTGGCTAGCTGGTGAGCTCCAGGGATCTGCCTTTCTCTACTTCCCCAGCTCTGGGATTATAAGTGTATGCTACTGTGCCCAGCTTTTTTATGTGTGTTCTAGGGGATTGAACTCGGGTCCTCAAGTTTTCCCAGCAAACTTTGCTGATTAAACCATCTTCCCAGCTCTAGATTTTTTTCAATGTATATTTTATTGAATTTTTGTGCATTTAATACAATATATCTTAATCATTAGACTCCCCTCTCCTATCTGCCCCCTCCCATAGCCTACCCACCAATTTCATGAATTCTGTTACATATGTTAGGATCTAGTGCAGGTTATCAGAAAGGTAAGGGCTTGGGGTACCAATTGTTCTAGGCTCAGATATAGCTGGGCCAGATTTGTTTGGTGATCCCTGAGCAAGTCACTCCTATTTTCCCTGTGTGTTCTTTGCCCATCTGTAAATTAGAATATCCTTTGCTCCAACTGAACTTTGGGGTGTAATATACCATGTTTGTTTTTGTTCACTGCCCTCATTTTTTCCTGAAATAACTATTTTCCCTACAATTACCATGCATATTTAATTTTTCTAATTTATTTATTTTTATTTGATGTACATGAGTGTTTTGCCTGCATGTATGCAAGTGCACCCATGTTTTGCAATGCCTGTGGATGTCAGAAGATGGCATCAGATCCCCTGAAACTGGAATTACAGATGGCTGTTTGCTGCCATGTGGGTTCTAGGAACCAAACCCCAGTCCTTGGGAAGAGCAGACAGTGCTCTTAACTGCTGAGCTATCTTTCCAGCTTTTCCCATGCATATTTGATAGAGGGTTTTTGCCCCTCCCAAAGCTGGGCTGTGTTAAGTGATTAAGTATCTGGTTCAGTGTCAGGGTCAAAGCACATAGGAAAACATCCTGCTTTGGTTGGCACCAACTACACTGTGGTTCTTAGGGTTATAGGAAGATCCATGAGGACACACGAGCTGAGCCCCTTTCTGTAGGCAATGGGAGCTTCCTTACCCAGAGTCCTCATCCCAGTAGTAATGGCTCCTGCCAGGATAGCTCTGCTCCACCTTGTCCATCTGCAGGGTCCTCACGAAGGTCCCTGTCTTGGATGTTTGCTTTAGCAGACGATTGTGAACATCCGAAAGGATGGAAAAGGTGGTGCCCCTTGGGTAGCAAAGCCCCACACGGATCCAGTCACCCCTAGAACAGAAAGTGGAGTCAGATCCGAACAAGACTGTCCAGGCTCCAGGGCCCTCAGGCATGCCCTGGGAAGAGTGGCCAGAGAATTCTTACCTGGAAACATTTGAAAGAATTTTGAAAGTTACAAAGTGTTGAAGGAGTCAGGTGTGGTGGTCCACACCTTTAATCCTAGCACTCAGGAGGCAGAGCAGGAGGAGCTCTGTGAGTTCTAGGCCAGCCTGGTCTACATAGAGAGTTCCAGTCCAGCCAGAGTTACATTGTGAGACAGTCTCAAAAAATCAAAACACAGTGTTCACGGAGAGGACAGGTGATGACTGTCAGTGGGTGAGGAGGACCATCAGGAAGGGACAGTTGTGGGCATCCAGGGCCTGCTCTGGGGGTGCCCCATGTGGGACCTTGGCTGGGAAAATGGGTATTCTTTCAACTTGGCTCTGGTTAACAAGCAAAGCAACTGAGAGCTGGTTCAGTCCTTGCTGATCAGAAGGCCTACTACATCTTATTTTCTTCAGTGGATAAATGTCTGTCTCAGGACTACTGTGAAGAGCACTTGATATACTTAGAAAATGCTTGAGTATAAATATACAGAGCCAACCTGGTACCCTCAACCCAACTGCTTCCCCTGTGTCATGGTTCATACTGATAACTTGACAGGACCTTGAACTGCCCAGGAAAGGGCTCACCTGTGAGGGATTATCTAGATTAGGTTAGTATCCGAGCATGCCTTTGAGGGATTTTTCTTGACTGGGTTAATTGAGGTGAGAAGATCTACTCTAAATGTGGGTGACGCTATTCCACGGGCTGGAGTCCTGGACTAAGTAAAAAGGAAAAAGGGAAGCAAGCAGCAGCATTCATCTCCCTCTGCTTCCTGACTGTGGGTGCCATGTGACCAGCTGCCTCAGATCCTGCCACCATGACTTTCCCACCATGATGGACTACACCCTCAAACTATGAGCCAAGATAAACCCTTCCTTCCTTAAGTTGCTTTTGTTAGGGTATTTTATTATAGCAACAGAAAAGCAACTAAATGCCCACAAAGAACCTCATTCCCCTCCTAAAAATGGTAGCAGTAATATGTATTTTACCAGTGAGCAATTAGTCATGCCAAGAGCTGGCTGATATAGCTGGCATATGCTCATTAGTTCATTCCATGTTCTTTGTACACCCGGGAGGTAATACCAGCCTGATCTCAAAGTGGAGGCCCTAAGGCTCCAAAAGGTTAGCCTCCTGACCAAGGAGGGCCCAGTGTGGGACCTCACCCTGTGTCCTTGGATCCTCAACTCTGGGTAATGTGAACCTCTCTGGGTACCTCCTGCAGAAGTCACAGGAAGTAGCCTGCAGTCCTGTGAATGGCAGCCCTAGGCCTCTGTAATGAGGAGTTGCTGTCCTGGCCAGCTCCCACTCACTTGTTGAAGTTGATGAGCCAGATGGCAAGTTCAGCGGGGGCTGTTTGATCCCAGTGGATGGTGTAGCCCTTCTGCAGGGTGACGACAGGCTGGTACTGCTGGTAGTGGGTGCTTCTGGTGAGGGCTCCCTCCAGGTAGAGAGGGTGGCTGGGGAAGTCGTTCTTGATGATCTTCATTCTCAGGTTGTTGCTCTTGTAGGCTTGGATGTACATCTTGGAAAACCCAAAAAGGAAACACAGAAGGTCGTTACAAGGAATTGTTCCAGGAGTGTCTGGTTAACATCGGATCACAGAGGGTGCTTTCAGAGTCACCCTCTGTCTACAGAGCTGCTTTTAAAATGCCTGAATGAAAGAAAGGCCAAATAAGGGCATGTCTTTCTGCTGGTGGATGGAGCCCAAGCTGCACTGTGCAGCCCGGGGGATGCTTTTTGTGATCCCCAACAATGACCACTGCTGAGGAGTGGCCAGTGGAGCCTGCAGGAGTTCTTAATAGTCAAGCAGTGAATCTTGGAAAATGGAGGCATGTATGGAATGACAAGGAGGGGAGAGAGGACTGATGTATTTCATTTCTTCCTTCCTTCCCTCCTTCCTTCCTTCTTCCCTTTTCTCTCTACCATTGAGAATTAAACCTAGGACCTTATAGATGCTAGATAAACACCCTACCAATGAGCTACATCCCCAGTCCTCTTTTGACTTTTTGAGTCAAGGTCTCACTAATTGAAACTTACTCTGTAGCCAAGTCAGGTCTTGAACTTGTAATCTTCCTACCTCAGCCTTCCAGTAGCTGGGATGTCAGGCCTGTAGCACCAGGCCTGGCAAGAGAGGCCCATTCTAATTCTACTGCGGATACAACCGCTGGCAGGGTTCTCCTGTATTTGAGAGCTGGCCTGGGTATGTTACCTTACTTCACCCTTGGGACCAGGATCTGTATGTGCCAGTCCCCATCAGATGAGTACATGTCTCATTCAGAGAGAGAAACTGAAACTAAGACCACCAGCCTGGGTAAAAAAGCCAGCTTCTGTTTAAAACACTCTCCTGGGGGTAAGGAGATAGCTCAGTGTGTAAATGCTTACTACTCAAAGCATGAGGCCCTGAGTTTGGATCTCCAGCACACACATAAAAGCTGTCAATGATGGCATGTGTCTTCACTAGGGGGCAGAGACAGGCAGATCCTGGGGTTCATTAGACATTCAGCCTAGTCAAAATGGTGAGAAAGGTTCAGTGAGAGAGTCTGATAGAGGAAGATACCCAGTGTTAACCTCTGGCCTCTGAAGGTACACACATGGTCAAAAGTAGTCATTCATGTACATACATACACATACAACACACACACACACACACACACACACACCATATCTATTACACACAACACACATGTATATATAACACACATGTGTACATATATTACACACATATATATTACACACAGAACATCACACAGACATATTACACACATATGCATATATTACACACACAATATATCACAACCACATATATATTACACACCACACACATGTGTACATATATTACACACACATATATATTACACACAGAACACATCACACAAACATATATATTACACACATGTCTGCAT